ATTATGAACAACAAATATGCATCTATCAACAAATGAATCTAAGAATCAAGTGAATAAATAATCTGAGGAACAGAATGAACTGTTGATTATAATAGAATCAGGGACATAGAAAGGGAATGGACTGACTATTCTTGGGGGGGGGAGGGGAGTGGGAGATGCGGGAAGAGACTGGACAAAATTCGTGCACCTATGGATGAGGACAGTGGGTGGGGAGTGAGGGCGGAGGGTGGGGTGAGAGCTGGAAGGAGGGGAGTTATGGGGGGGAAAAAAGAGGAACAAATGTAATAATCTGAACAATAAAGATTTAATTAAAAAAAAAACTATCAGACTTTAAAGGTAAGAAAAAATATCTTCAGAACTTTCAAAGCAAAAGATTCAATTACCTAATAGGGGTAAAAAAAAATTTAGGCAGTCAGGTTTCTTAAGGTTTCAACCACCAACATACAAAGAAAAACAAGAATGAAGCTGCATTTTCAAGAAATTTAAGGAAAGTGCAAGTCCACAATAAAAAGGAGTAAATGACTAATACATCCAACAACATGGATGAATCTCAAGAGCACTAATCTCAGTGCAAGAAGCCAGATAAGACTATACACTATACGACTCCAATTATATCAAATTCTATAAAAGTCAAAACTCTAGCGGCAGAAGGCCAACCTGTGGTTGCTAGGTATTGGGGGTGAAAAGAGATTATCTGCAAATGGGCATGAGGAACTTGGTGAGTGAAAAAAATTTTCTTTATCACATATCAGCAAATGTCTGTAAAGGTCCAAATAGTAAATATTTTAGGCTTTGCAGGCCAGATAGTCTTCATTGCAACTACTCAACTCTGCCAACGTACTATAAGAACAGCACTGACAACACTAATGAAAGGACACAACACTAATGGTTGTCTTAAAATAATCTTTATTTCCAAAAAGAGACAGCAGGCCAATTTGGCTTGTGGGTTATAGTTTGCGGATCCTTTGTCCTATAACCATTAGGGTGGTAGTTAAGACTATATTTGTTTGTCAAATTTTTAATAGTGTAACCTTAAAATTTGGTGAATTTTCATATAAATTCTACCTCAATAAAGCTGATTTTTTAATAATGTAAGCCAAGGATTTCATACCCAGCCAAGCTGTCCTTCAAATATCAAGGTTATAGGAAAAAAAACAATATTCTGCATGTGCAATAACTCAGGGAATGCTGTACACACAAGCCTTTCCTAAGGAATATTCTAGAAGATGTTTGTCATCTAACCAACAGATAACCGGAGATACAGGAGCAAAGGACACATACGCAATTCTACAGTAAAAA